AGTAGTCAAACAGCGTGGAACTGGTATAAAGATAAACAGATACACCAATGAAGTAGAATTCAGAGTTGAGAGTTTAGAAAGAAACACATACATCTATGGTCAATTGATTTTCAACAAGGGTGCCAAGTCCATTCAATGGGGAAAGAATAGTCCCTTCAATAAATGATGCTGAGATAACAGGATCTCCACATGCAGAAAATGAAGTTGGACCCATAACTCATACCATATATGAAAATTAACTCAAAAATTTCAAGGAGTGACTGGTGGATTCGAGCTGCCTGACCTTTTGGTTAGCAGCCTGAGCTCTTAACCACTGTGCCACCAGAGCTCCAATATAAGAAGTAAATCAATAAAACTCTTAGAAGAAAACATAAGGGTAAAACTTTAAAACCTTGTTTTTAGCAATGAATTCTTAGATATGGCACCAAAAGCATGAGCAACAAAAGAAAAAATAGGTAAATTGTACATCATCAAAATGAAAATCTTTTGTGCATCAAAAGACTGGAACCATACATCTGATAAGGGTTAATATCTGGATTATACAAAGAAGTCCTACAACTCAACAACAAAAATACAAACAACCCAGATAAAAATGGGCAGAAGACTTGAGCAGAAATTTCTCCAAAGAAGGTATACAAATGGCTAAAAAACACTTGAAAAGATGCTCAAAGTCTTAGTCACTCCCCCATTGCCATCAAGTCAATTTCGACTCACAGCGACGCTATAGGACAGAGTAGAACTGCCCCATAGGGTTTCCAAGGAATGCCTGTGGATTTAAACTGCCAACCTTTTGGTTAGCAGCTGCATTGCGCTGTAGCTCTTAACCATTGCGCCACCAGGGCTCATTCTTTGTCATTAGGGAAATGTAAATCAAAATCACAAGGTAACACTTCATGCCCACTAGGATTTCTGTTATCAGAAAAAAAAGAAAATGAACAAGTGTTGGCAAGGATGTGGAGAAACTGAAACCCTCTTGCATTGCTGCGGAGAATGTAAAATGGTGCTGCTGCTGAGGAAAACAGTGACAATTCCTCAAAAAGTTAAATATAAAATTACCATGTGACCGAGAAATTCCCGAGAGACTTGAAAGCAGAGTCTCACCAATGTTCATTGCAACATTATTCACAATGGCCAAAAGGTGGAAAAAACTCAGGCCTTTGTTTATTTGGAGAAACAAAATGTGGTATATACATACAATGGAATGTTCTTTAGCCATAAAGAGAAATGAAATTCTGATACATGCCACAACATGCATGAACCTTGAAAACATTATGCTGAATGAGATAAGTCAGACACAAAAGGACAAACATTATATGATCCCATTTATTAGAAATACCCAGAAGAGGTAAATGCGTAGAGAAAAGTTTATTACTTTTACCACAATAAACATTTAAAAAACAAATGTGTAGGGAAAGTATCTGCTAGTATTTTAAACTACCAATAGGGCATGAATGGTTATTGTGCCCAAGTTGCTGGATTTCTTTAAATGTTGTTTTTTAATGAATCTTTACAATATAGTATTCTTTAGCACTTACCTTTGGTATTTTCAGTAAAATATTCATTGTGACATTAAAAGTAAAACTGAATGGAATAGTATATAAAATGAAAAATTCCCCAGTATTTGTTCCCACAATACTTCATCTGCAGGAACCTGATTGTTGACATCACAAAGCAGCCTGTAAACCACTGTGTGTGTGCTGGCCTCACACTTTCTGATTAAAAAAGCAACAAATGATGCAGCACCAGAGTGTTTCTTTTAACACTAGATGCACTTGATATATAGAAAGAAAAAGAGGAAGGATAAATCAGATTAAAAATTTTACTTACAAATGACTAATTTCCCTGCTTTGCTTAATTAAAAAAAAAAAAATCAGCAACAAACAGATTTCTGTGTGGTGTCCAACAAAAAAAATGGAAAAATCTCAACCAGGATGATGGCACAGAACTGAGATTGAAGATTCCATTCCAGTCTCATCTGAAGAATGCACTTCAGACATAAGTTTTTACCTAGGTAGTTTAAATGAGAGTCAATAAGAAATAGTGTTTGAAAAAGGCTAATTTGTTTTTTAGTCAATTCTGCCTGGATATATACATATATCGTACGTAAATAGTAGATATAGATATAAAATTTGAGGAAACATACTAATTTTTCTACTAAGTTATTCTATGAGCCTTAGACAAATTATTGTGTTCTTTTTTTTGGTTTATTTTTCATGACACCCTGAATCTCCAAAACATCAGTGAAACAATACCTGTAATTGGGACAAAAGTATAGGAGTGGTGAGGGTGGGGATGGCCTGTAAGGAAATCCAGGCTAATTACAACTTTGCAGTCTTAACTACTTCTCATTTAGTGTTCTGGTTTATCTTGGTCAACCTGTGGACTTGGGTGGAGTAGGTATTGCATAAGTACTGGGGTTCCAGTAAAGGAGAAGCTTTCTGTCAAGTTTAGTTATATGGCCCCAATGTCTAGATCAGAACCTGGCATATAATATGATTTTAATATTTACCCATTCAACAACTACTTATTGGGGGCTTACTATGTGCTCTTCAAGGCAGTGGAAATATATCCTTGAACAAAATATAAAATTCCTTATCCTTTTGGAATTTATGTTTTAGTAGAGGAGGAGAGGATATTGGCATAATAAATAAAGCTTTTAGAATACTAAAAGGTAATGTGCTATGGAAAAAGCAACAAAGCTGGGCAAGAAGAATCAGCAGCATAGAAGTGAATAGTCAGCTGAAATTTTAAATAGAGTGGCCAGAGTAGACTCAATTAGGTGATATTATGAGCAAAAAGTTGAAGGAAATGGTGGAGTGAACCACATGAATATCTGGGAAAAGAATATTCTAGGCAGAGGAAACAGCAAGTGAAAAGGCCCTGACGTGAGAACAAGACTACTATTTTGGAGGAACAGCAAGGGACTAGTGTGGCTGGAGAGAGTAGAAGAAGCCTGGGAGAGTGTAGGAGGTTTGCTTAGATATGAAATGGGGTGGGGATAGGGACACACAGTATGGGGTTTTGGGGTCACCCAAAGGACTTTGGCCTTACTCTGAGTGAACTGGGGAGATGTTGTCGGGTTTTGAGCAGAGAAGAAACACAATGAGACTTATGTTTGTTTGTTTGTTTGTGTGCTCTATGTGTGTGTGTGTGTTTAATTTTTAATTTTGGTGAAAACATATACAGCCAAAGATACACCATTTCAACAATTTCTACATGTACAGTTCAGTGACATTGATTGCATCCTCCAAGTTGTGCTACCATTCTAGATATCCTTTTCCAAATTATTCCACTATCGTTATCTTAAACTCGTTGCCCCCAAACTTCCCATCCAATCTTTTGAGTTGCCATTGTCAGTTTGATCTCACATGCATAATTCTTAAAAAGAACACAATGCTCAAAGCAGATGTACTTTACTAATTAAGATAAGCTATTTTTTGGTTTAAAGAAGACTTCAGAAGCTAGTTTTAGTTTAAGGCTTAAAGTTTAAAGATTATCTCATGGCAATAGTTTCAGGGGTTCATTCAGCCTCAATGGCTCCAGAAAGTCTGGATTACAAAGCATTTAAAATTCCATTCTGCATTTTCCCCCTTTTGATCAGAATTCTTCTATAGAATCTTTGATCAAAACATTCAGTAATGGTAGTTGGGCACCATCCAATTCTTCTGAGCTCATGACAAACAAGGCAGACATGCATTTGATTTCCTCCTCCAATTCCTGACTCTCCTTCCTCTACTGCTTCAGGTGAATGGAGACTAATTGTTGTACCTTGAAGGGCTGCTTGCTAGTTTTTAAGACTCTAGTCACTATGCAGTGAAATAGGAGGGAGGTGGAACAGAAGTACTGAGAAACAATTGATTGGGATGTCCCTCAAAACCATGACCCTAAACCTCCAAACTGAATTTCTCTGGCTGCTTTGCTGAGACCATAGAGTGGCAAGAAGAGAAGCAGGGAGGCCTACAAGGAGACTATTGGGGTGCTCCAGGTGAGAGATGATGGTGGCTTAGATCAGGCTGTGAAAGCAGTGAGAAGTTCACTTATCTGTTCATTCATTTTACAAATCAAAATTAAGAGTGTTTTGTGTCAACACGATTCCAAGTACTTTATTCATATGCCATTATTTGCTTAGAAAATATGTAGACTGAATAATTGCCTCTCAGTGATGTCCTTGTCCTAATCTCTGAACTTCTGAATATATTACTTGGCATAGTAAAAAGTATTTTGCAGATGTGATTAAGTTAAGGATCTTGAGATGGGGAAATCATCTTGGATTATCCAGGTGAGCCCAGTGTAAACACAAGGGTCTTTATAAAAGGGAGGAGGAGGGTCAGAATCAGTAGTAGGAGAAGTGACGATGGAAGCAAGAGAATGGAGTGATGCCAGGAAGGGGCCATAAGCCGGAGGCCTCTAGAAGCTAGAAAAGGTGAGGAAACAGATTTTCCCCTAAGGCCTATGGAAGGAATGCAGTCTTATGGGCACCTTGATTTTTCTCAGTGAGATCCATTTTAGACTTTTGACCTCCAAAACTGTAAGAGTAAATTTGTGTTGTTTTAAGCCACTGAGTTTGTAGTAAATTTGTTATAGCAGCAATAGGAAACAGATACAGAAAATAAGTTTTTCAGATAAATACACAATAATCACATGATTGTAACAATTTATTTAACCATTCCTATATTGTTCAACCTTTAGATTGTTTTCAATTTTTCCCTATTATAAATAATGCTGAAATGAACATACTTAAGCATAAAATTTTGGCAGGTACCTCTGGTTATTTTCTTAGGTTAAAAGCCTAGATGTGGAATGACTACTGTAAAGGTTATTTTGTTTTGTTTTTTGTACTTTAAAATACAGAGAAGGTACAGAAAATCATACAACGAACACCTATATTTCCGCATTCAATGTTAACTTTTATTAGCATTTTATATGATAGAGTTTAAGAACATCTTAACATCTCTTACCCACCTGCTTCCCTACTTCCATATCTTCTGAAACAAATACTGCAAAGTATGGAATGATTCACAAATGTGTCAACCATCCTTGCACAGGAGCCCAATTAATCTTCTCTGTGCTGCTCCAATTTTAGTATACATAGTGATAAATCAAACATCATGGTTTTCTTTTAATCTTTAAAAAATTTTTATTATTATTTTTTGAAGAAACATTTTGTTGTTGTTAGTTGCTGTTGAGTTGATTCTGACTCATGGGGACCCCATACATGCAGAGTAGAACTGCTCTATATGGTATTCAAGGCTGCGGCCTTTCAGAAGCAGATCACCAGGCCTGTCTTCCAAAGCACCTCCAGGAGGGCTTGAACCACTGACCTTCGGACTAGTTGTCAAGCACTTAACTGTTTGTACCACCCTATCTGAGGGACATAGCCAAGGTTATAAATTACAGGTTGTTTATGGCAATAACATTTTTAGACTCAAAATTATGAAATTTCATAGAAAAGAAAAGCTTAAGTATAAGGCAAAAGAATAAGAAAAAGAAAGGCAGAACTGAATAATGCCCTAAACCTAGCTCTGTTTTTCTAGCTGTGGATTTTATTTTCTCTGTTAATTTTACCTCATATTTAAAGTATTAAAATGTAAGTTAAGATCTAAAATATTCAAATTATTTATTTAAAAGCCATTACTAATTTTGTCACAGTTCTCAATTTTGTCAGATTGGCCTGAGTTCTGAACTATAAAGAGAAGGCAATGAAAAGGGTATTGTTTCCTTTACTATAACTCTACTGTTTTACTAGGGTGTCGTAGAGGCTACTTTGCAATCTTGTTTGAGAATAGGTCCCTTTGTCTATCTTGGTCATAATTTGGGCAAACACTCTACTTAAGCAGAGCAGAAGTCAGTTATGAGAATGAGGATTCATTCCTATTGTAGAATATTGCAAAATTGGAAGTTTCACTTAAAAGCATCTCCAAATAAAAATGTCTGAAATACAAGATTTTCTCAAGATCTGTAACTTGTAAATAGCTTTTATATTCCAAATTGTATATATGACACCATTCCATTTTTATTGAAAACAATTATTTTGATTCATGTGGAAGAACAATTATTTTTTTAAATACATTGGGGATATCAGGTTGAGATAAGAACTCTGGTCATTCTAAATATTCTGACACCTTAATTTTTAGAAAGTAAAATTTATATAAGAACAACGTGATGTGAATTACCACCATTTAAATGATACACATTTAAATTAATTCCTATCAAATATTTTAAATAAGCAAAGGCCTATAATAAGGCCCAGAACCAGTGTTTGTGCAATATGTCACATGAAATATTTATTTTATTTCTTACATTTCACAAGAAAAGTAATATATGCACCACCTTCTCAGATGAAGGACAAGCAAAGTGGTTTGTTTATTCAACAATAATTTTTTTTTAGGAAGCTAAATCTAAGAATAACTAAATAATAAATATTTGTATATATAAACAATAAGAGACGTATCCATAATTAAAGGGCTAATCTTTTCCTAGAGAGAAAATATATATCTGTCTTTAAAATAATGAGAACATATGAATAATGGACTATCCCATACAGGTATTTTTTACTTATCCTGATAAGTGAAGCAAGGGGAAAAAATAACTACCATAAATGCTTCTAGAAAGCCCTGTAGGTGAAACCATTGCTTTGGAATCCAAAGGATTTATGCTATGACTGGTAATATATAAACTCATAACTAAGAAAGAGCTATTTAATAAGATGGGCTGGTCCTCATCTCGGCTATTACTTTCTAAATTCTGAATAACAACACCTCATTATATAAACGGATTATAATCTTAGAGGAATGTGTTTTGTACTTAATTTTTTAATTTATGCCTCTTACTTTCTAATTTGACTAAAACTAACTTCAGAAATGTAGAAGCTGAAGAGAAGATTTTTTAAATAGCATGCATTATTATTTCATAGGGGTACATTTTTACCTTTTTTTTCCTCTTAATTTTTTTTTATTGTACTTTAGGTGAAGGTTTACAGAATAGTTTCTCATTAAACAGTCAGTACACATATTGTTTTATGACATGGGTTAACAACCCCATGACATGTCGACACTCTCCCTTCTCGACCTTTTTTTTTTTTTTTTTGGTGAAAATATACATAGCCAAACACACACCATTTCAAAAATTTCTACATGCACAATTCAGTGACATCGATTACATTCTTCCAGTTGT